ACTTCTTGAGCAACGTTTGACCATTCATCTTATTCAATTTTTTTGTGCAAATACAAAAGTATTTATGTCATGCTTAAAGAACAATTGATGATAAATCAAGTCACAATAAAAAAAATCATAATTACATAAATATTTTAAATAATAGGAATGATCAAACGTTGATAAAAAATAAACGGCGACATACATTAAAATTTAATATGGTGGGAGTATTTTTTAAAAAAATGGAGAAAAAAAGATAATACAGAGGGAGATTGTAATGTCCCGCCTTCCCCCAGGCCGGGCCCGCTTACATCTGATAGCTTTCATAGGTCATAAGACTGCCCTCACAGACCAACACATGTCTTTTCTGCACACTTTGTCCTCACTCGTGTACACTCGGGAAGAATTTCCCAGTCGGTCACCCATCCCAAATTGCCGGGCCCGCTTACATCTGATAGCTTTCATAGGTCATAAGACTGCCCTCACAGACCAACACATGTCTTTTCTGCACACTTTGTCCTCACTCGTGTACACTCGGGAAGAATTTCCCAGTCGGTCACCCATCCCAAATTGCCGGGCCCGCTTACATCTGATAGCTTTCATAGGTCATAAGACTGCCCTCACAGACCAACACATGTCTTTTCTGCACACTTTGTCCTCACTCGTGTACACTCGGGAAGAATTTCCCGGTCGGTCACCCATCCCAAATTGCTCCAGGCCAAGCACGCTTAACCCTGGAGTTCTTTGGAGATTGACTTCCGGAAAAGAAGTTGCAACTTGTTGATATGAGTATTCTATTAATCCTATTAAGCCCTAGGCCGGGATGATACAGAGATTTTTTAAAAATAATGGAGAAAAAGAGATAACTTAACCGACGAAGAAAAGCTAACGAAGGGTGAAAAATGGAGTGGGAGAAAGAGGGGGAAAAGTCAAAGACGGCAACTGTCTCTTACCACTGCAGTTTCCGTTCCATCACTCTCCAGCATCCTCTTCTCCCCCGCTTCGACCCTCCCTTCTATTGTTCTCCTCTGTTTCACCGGAGCCAGTGTAGGGTACATTTTATAAAGAAACTACTCCCTTAATGTTTTAATGCATGACGTTGTTGATATTTTGAGCAACGTTTGACCATTCATCTTATTCAATTTTTTTTTGCAAATACAAAAGTATTTATGTCATGCTTAAAGAAAAATTTATGATAAATCAAGTCACAATAAAAGAAATCATAATTACCTAAGTATTTTATATAATACGATTGGTCAAACGTTGATAAAAAGTAAACGACGACATACATTAAAATTTAATACAGAGGAAGTATTTTTTTTTAAAAAAATGGAGGCAAAAAAAGATAAATTAACTGACTGTTAAGTGTTAATAGTCAATGAAGAAAAGCTAAAGAAGGGTGAAAAATGGAGAGAGAGAGAGAAAGAGGGGGAAAAGACGAAGACGACAACTGTCTCCTACCACAGCAGTTTCTGTTTCATCACTCCATTGTCCAAGTCTCTCAAATCTTCTTCTCCCCCGCTCTGACCCTCCCTTCTATCGTTCTCCTCCGTTTCACCGGAGCCAGTGTGGGGTACATTTTATAAAGATACTACTCCCTTCATGTTTCAATGTATGACGTTGTTGACTTCTTGACCAACTTTTGACCATTCATCTTATTCAAAATTTTTGTGCAAATACAAAAGTATTTATGTCATGCTTAAAGAACATTTGATGATAAATGAAGTCACAATAAAATAAATCATAATTACATAAATATTTTAAATAATACGAATGGTCAAACGTTGATAAAAAGTAAATGACGACATTTATTAAAATTTAATACGAAGGGAGTATTTAAAAAAATAAAGAAAATAAGTTAACCCACTATTAAGTGCGCTAAAGAAAAGCTTACGAAGGGTGAAAAATGGAGAGGGAGAAAGAGGGGGAAAAGACGAAGATGACAGCTGTCTCCTACCACTGCAGTTTCCGTTTCATCACTCTCCAGCGTCCTCTTCTCCCCTGCTCCGACCCTCCCTTCTTTCGTTCTCCTCCATGTCACCGGAGCCAGTGTGGGGTACATTTTATAAAGAAACTACTTCTTTAATGTTTTAATGTGTGACGTTGTTCACTTCTCAAGCAACGTTTGACCATTCATCTTATTCAAAACTTGTGTGCAAATATAAAAGTATTTATGTCATGCTTAAAGAACAAATTGACGATAAATCAAGTAACAATAAAATAAATTATAATTACATAAATATTTTAAATAAGACGAATGGTCAAACGTTGATAAAAAGTAAATGACGACATACATTAAAATTTAATACGGTCGGAGTTTTTTTTATCAAAACTGGAGGAAAAAAATTAGTTAACCGACTGTTATGTTAACAGTAAGTGAAGAAAAGCTAAAGATGGGTGAAAAATGGAGAGAGAGGAAGAGGGGGAAAAGACGAAGACGGCAACTGTCTCCTACCACCGCAGTTTCCGTTTCATCACTCCAGTGTCCAAGTCTCTCAAATCTTCTTCTCCCCTTCTCCGACCCTCCGTTCCGTCGTTCTCTTCTCTTTCACCGGAGCCAGTGTGGGATACATTTTACAAAGAAACTACTCCCTTCATGTTTTAATTTGTGACGTTGTTGACTTCCTGAGCAACGTTTGACCATTCAGCTTATGCAAAATTTTTGTGCAAATACAAAAGTATTTATGTCATGTTTTAAGAACATTTGATGATAAATTATGTCACAATAAAATAAATGATAATTACATAAATTTTTTAAATAAGACGAATGGTCAAACGTTGATAAAAAGTAAACGACGACTTGCATTAAAATTTAATACGGAGGGAGTATTTTTCTAAAAAAAATGGAGGCAAAAAAAGATAAGTTAACCGTCTGTTAAGTGTTAACGGTCAGTGAAGAAAATCTAAAAAAGGGTGAAAAATGGAGAGAGAGAGTAAGAGGGGGAAAAGACGAAGACGACAGTTGTCTCCTACCACTGCAGTTTCTGTTTCATCACTCTAGTGTCCAAGTCTCAAAAATCTTCTTCTCCCCTATTCTGACCCTCCCTTGTGTCATTCTCCTCTGTTTCACTGGAGCTAGTGTGGGATATATTTTATAAAGAAACTACTCCCTTCATGTTTTAATGTATGACGTTCTTAACTTCTTGAGCAACGTTTGACCATTCATCCTATTCGAAATTTTTGTGCAAACACAAAAGTATTTATGTCATGCTTAAAGAAAATTTGATGATAAATCAAGTCACAATAAAATAAATGATAATTACATAAATATTTTAAATAAACCGAATGGTCAAACGTTGATAAAAAGTAAACGACGACATACATTAATATTTAATACGAAGGGAGTATTTAAAAAAATAGAGGGAAAAAGGATAAATTAACCGACTGTTAAGTGTTAACAGTCCGTGAAGAAAAGCTAAAGAAGGGTGAAAAATAAAGAGAGAAAGAGGGGGGAAAAGATGAAGACGTCAGCTGTCTCCTACCACTGCAGTTTCCGTTTCGTCGCTCAAGTGTCTAACTCTCTCAAATCTTCTTCTCCCCCCACTCCCCGCTCCGATCCTTCCTTCTGCCGCTCTCCTCCGTTTCAGCGAAGCCAGTGTGGGGTATATTTTATAAAAAAACTACTCCCTTCATGTTTTAATGTATGACATTGTTGACTTCCAACGTTTAGCCATTTATCTTATTCAAAATTTTAGTGTAAATATAAAAGTATTTATGTCATGCTTAAAGAACAATTGATGATAAATCAAGTCACAATAAAATAAATCATAATTACATAACTATTTTAAATCATACGAATGGTCAAACGCTGATAAAAAGTAAACGTCGATGTACATTAAAATTTAATACAGAGGGGGTATTTTATAAAAAAACAAATTGGACAAAAAAAGATAATATGAAAGGTCTATTTTTTTAAAAAAAAATGGACAAAAGAAAGGTAACCAGCTGTTAAGTGCGCTGAAGAAAAGCTTACGAAGGGTGAATAATGGAGAGGGAGAAAGAGGGGGAAAAGACGAAGGCGGCAACTGTCTCCTACCACTGCAGTTTCCGTTTCATCACTCTCCAACGTCCTCTTCTCCCCTGCTCCAACCCTCACTTCTGTCGTTCTCCTCCGTTTCACCGGAGCCAATATGGAGTACATTTTATAAAGAAACTACTCCCTTAATGTTTTAATGTATGACGTTGTTAACTTCTTGAGCAACATTTGACCATTCATCTTATTCAAAATTTTTGTGCAAATACAAAAGTATTTATGTCATGCTTAAAGAACAATTGATGATAAATCAACTCACAATAAAATAAATTATAATTACATAAATATTTTAAATAATACAAATGGTCAAACGTTGATAAAAAGTAAACGACGACATACATTTAAATTTAATATGGAGGGAGTATTTTTTTTAAAAAAAATGTAGGAAAAAAAGATAAGTTAACCGACTGTTGTGTTAAAGAAAAGTTAAAGAAGGGTGAAAAATAGAGAGAGAAAGAGGGGGAAAAGACGAAGACGACAGCTGTCTCCTACCACTGCAGTTTCCATTTCATCACTCAGGTGTCCAAGTCTCTTAAATCTTCTTCTCTCCCGCTCCGACCCTCTGTTCTGTCGTTCTCCTTCGTTTCACCGGAGCCAGTGTAGGGTATATTTTTATAAAGAAACTACTCCCTTCATTTTTTAATGTATGACGTTGTTAACTTCTTGACCAACGTTTGACCATTCATCTTATTCAAATTTTTTGTGCAAATACAAGAGTATTTATATGTGATGTTTAAAGAACATTTAATGATAAATGAAGTCACAATAAAATAAATCATAATTACATAAATATTTTAAATAAGACGAATGGTAAAAACGTGGATAAAAAAGTAAACGACGACATACATTAAAATTTAATACGAAGGCAGTATTTTCTTAAAAAATTTGAGAACAAAAAAGATAATACAGAGGGAGTATTTTTCAAAAGAAGTGGGAGAAAATAAAAACATAAATTAACCGACTATTAAGTGCACTGAAATGAGGGGTGAAAAATGAGGAGGGGAAAAGACGAAGACGGCAGCTATCTCCTGCTACTGCAGTTTCCGTTTCATCACTCTCCAGCGTCTTCTTCTCCCCCGCTCCGATCCTCCCCTTCTGCCGTTCTCCTCCGCTTCACGGAGCCAGTGCCCCACACCCACGCGCCGGCCACCGGCGCCTCCCGCGCCGACCCAAATGGAGACCCGAAGCGGCGGCAGCGGCAGCGCCAGCGGCGGCGGCGGCGGCGGCAGGATGAGGCTGCGGAAGACGGAGTCGGCGGAGATGCGGTGGGTGGTGTCTGGCGGCGCCTACGAGGAGGACGAGATCGAGAGCTCCGACGGCGGGGGCGGCACCCCGGCGGCCGCCTCGGGCTCCCGCGGCGGCTGCTCGGACTCCGACGACAACTACGAGGAGGCGGAGATGCTCCGCCAGCGGCTCGTGCGCACCGGCCCGCGCGCCGACTCGCTGGACGTCGAGGCGCAGGACGTCGCAGGCATGAACCGCCACCAGGTGCGCGCACCCGCCCGAGCCCCCACGGGAAACACGGGGCCTTGCTTAAAATTGGCTGCCTCTACTTTTGTGCGCGCCAACTGTTCGATGTATTGCCTGCGTGTTCCTGACACTTATCAATCGTGGTCTAGTACTCTAGTGATAGTGTTAGATTAGGCGGCTTTGCGCTGCTGCTCAATTGAGATTGCAGCCTTGGAGCCGATAAGGTATTATTGGGTTTTGGGCTGTAAGAACATCATACTGAGCTCACTATATGCTTGTGGTGTGGACTGCGTAATTTCATTCGGTTGGTCTGGTTAGTGAATTAGCAAAATCATACTAGTTTATAGCATGTACCGTGGTTCTTCTAGGTTGTATCCATCTGTGTATGGATGCAACGTGTTTGCAATGCTTTTCTGATGAACCAGTGCAATTCGGTCCACAAGCTACACGCATGCTCTTGATGGTTGGGTTATTGATCGATGAGTGAAATTCTTGGTTTGCGGCGTAATCTTGTTGTTTGTAGGTGACACATCTGAGGATGTAAGTGTTACATGCAGATTGTGGACAGTTTGAAGAATTGTAATTACTACCCTAGTCTCCATTTTTTGTTGATACTTGTAGCAGCATAGCATATCTATGTCTTATTCTTTGTTGTGATGTGAGAAGTTTATAAGCTACAATATCCACAGGAATATCACGATGGCCGTGTTGATGTGATATTGCGACCTAGCGATATAATATTTGTTCAGTCATGGCTTTTAGTTTATTGTGAATGCTTATCAGATCACATGGACTGTTATTCTATTTCTGTCCCAGACATTCTTTTATTTAGCCATTTTCTGCAGTCTAAGTGAACCCAACACAAAATGTATACTACAATATTGCAAAAAACACCACGAAAACATGCATAATTGATGTGACAAAATTCTGAGCCTTTTTCCATGAATGGACGCATACCTCGCCATGTGCCGGAGCATGATTTCTATTGCAATTCATTGTTCGTCTTCTACTCGAGATCAGAAGTTAGAACCTTAGGGATGTGAATAAGGAGCCGTGACATGAAAAGTTTTGTTTCATCTCCTGGTTTGGCTTTTCAGAGTTAAATTGTTCTGTGAAACTAAATGCTGTGGAAAGAACAGCATGTGGTGCATTGAGTCACCTAAGTGAAACTACTGGTGATGAATGAGCGAGACGAGTTATTTTATTTCTCTTTCTTTCTTCACCATTAATGTAGTCAAATTGAATTAACCACATGTATTACCAGTACATTTATGCTGAAAACTGTCTATCATTATATGATAGTGTTCATAGATTTTTCAAATTTATCACACTAGAAATTATCTGCCAAAGTAGTATTTTAGAGACTTTGTCAATTTTGATTACTGCTCCCTCTGTTCTTTTTTTCTTGTCATTTAGGGCATCGACACAATCTCCAATGCACTTGTTTTATCATTGCCCTTTTTGCTTTTATATTTACAAAAATCACTATGTATTAACAAATAACTAAATGAAAGTAGTTTTCATGTGAAATCTACTAATGCTATTTTCACATATTAAATACAAATTAGTTTGTGAATTAAATTTTGAGGTTCACTTATTCTAAAACAACATCTAGAAATGAATGAAGGCAGTATTTTGGTTTCTATGTTGTCATGCAAGTTGTTTGATAAGTACCTCTCATTGGACATTGATACTCCAAATCCAAACATCATCACTTCATATGATGCTTGGACGATGAGGTGCAAGCCTCATTCTAAATGCATGAGTATCTGAACTCTACTGATTTCTCAATCATGCATTTTCTTTCAGGAAATTACCGTAGGCAGGAGTATTGTGCTGGCTGTTCAGACACTAGGTGTCGTCTTCGGTGACGTTGGTACCAGTCCATTGTATGCTTTCGATGTAATGTTCAACAAGTACCCTATTACTTCGAAGGAGGATGTACTTGGGGCACTCTCACTTGTAATATACACTCTGATTCTAATACCATTGCTGAAGTATACTCTCATTGCTTTATGGGGAAACGATGATGGAGAAGGTATATCTCATTATGTACTACTAGGTCACTACGAGTAGACTAAAACACAGCACTTTTGGTTAATCTTTTTATTTAATGAAACCGTGTTCTGTATCTATGGCAGGAGGGACATTTGCTTTATACTCGCTAATATGCAGGAATGCAAGGGTTAGTCTGCTTCCTAACCAACTACGCTCTGATACTCGTATATCAAGCTTCCAACTCCAGGTGCCTTCAGTAGAACTGGAGAGGTCTTTGAAGATCAAGGAGCGTCTTGAGACTTCATCTATGCTAAAGAAGCTGCTTTTGATGCTTGTTCTTTTTGGTACTTCTATGGTGATAGCGGATGGTGTTGTCACACCAGCAATGTCAGGTTCACATATTTCTGATGCGTTGCTCATTGAATTTCTCTTCACCGTGTTTAATGATCATTATATATGCTTTTATGAGTGATATTGTGCTAGACCAGGTTTTCTCTTTCCTGTAGAACTAATTCCAGTTCTTTCTATTGGTAAAAATCTGCAGTGATGTCTGCTGTCAATGGCTTAAAGGTTGGAATATCTAGTGTTAATGAAGGTGACCTCAGAATTTCAGTTTATTGACACATAGCACTAATTGATTCAGGAAAAGAATTAAGTCTGTACTGTCTACGAGTACATCATACTTACTATTAATGTGAAACTTTGGCAGGTGAAGTTGTCATGATAACTGTGGCAGTTCTTATTGTCCTGTTCACTCTACAACGATTTGGGTCAAGCAAAGTGGCGCTTGCTGTTGGACCTGCCTTGTTCATATGGTTTTGCTGCCTTGCTGGAATAGGAATTTATAACATGAAGACATATGGTTCAGCTGTATTACAGGCATTTAATCCTATGTATATATACTATTATTTTGAAAGGAACCCAACCCAAGCTTGGATGTCCCTTGGAGGCTGTCTTCTATGTGCTACTGGTATGTGTTTTAGCCATGTTGTTAATGCTATTTGTGATATATTATTGAATGCTAAATTATCTAAGAATGTGCTTACTTCTAGCGCATGTCTTTTTTCCTTATTTGTTCCTGAGTGAAGTGCGGCCGGTCCTTAAACTTGTATAGATGTGTCATCTAGGTCCTTAAACTCTCAAAATGCATTTTTGGGTCCCCAAACTTTTCATGGGTGTCATATAGATCCAAACGGGCTCCAACCCGCTCCGTGAGATGACGTCCACACAGTGGGATCCACATGTCAATCATGTAGAAAAAAATAAAATTTAAAAAGAGAGGAGAAAATGATGTTTTTAATTTTGAAAAATAAATGAAAAAGAGAGGAGAAAAAAATATGTTCTTAGTTTTTTCTATATGTGGCTGACATATGGGTTCTACTGACACGTAGGTGCCACCATGGCATGCCACGTCAGCACACGGAGCGGGTTGGAACCCGTTTGGACCTATATGACACCCGAGACAAGTTGAGGGACCTAATAATTCATTTTGAGAGTCCAGGGACCTAGTTGACACCCACACAAGTTTAGGGACCACCCGTGCACTTTACTCTTTGTTGAGTTCCTTTTGTTCGAGCTATATAGACTTGATATACCCTGTCTTTGCCCTTTTATTTCGTAGTAGGTCATAACTAAACCTATTGAAGCTGCTGTCCTTTTATTTTATAGCTTATGTAAAAGAGCAGTGCTGTTCTTTTGACTTGAACAGTAAAGATGTTAACAAGTTTGTCTTCTTACAGGATCTGAGGCAATGTTTGCTGATTTATGCTATTTCTCTGTCAAATCTGTTCAGGTAGTCCTTTCTGTTGTTTTAAGAGTCAATGTTGCACTTCATATCCTTGTACTTACTATGTCTAATGTGTTGCAGCTTACCTTTGTGTTTCTTGTTCTTCCATGCCTGCTACTGGGTTACCTAGGGCAAGCTGCATTTCTTATGGAAAATCTAACAGAAAATCAGCAGGTCTTCTTTTTATCTATCCCGAGTAAGATAAACTGGTTCATCTATGTACCTCTTTTAAATCTGATTTTCTGATTGCTATGGATTGTTTTCACACAAAATGAAATGGAATCTATTATCCCCTAAATTCTAAATAGTTTCATTCCGTGTCGCAGATCAGGCATTTTGGCCAGTGGTATTCATAGCAATTCTAGCAGCCATAATTGCTAGTCGCACAATGACAACTGCTATATTCTCAACAATAAAGCAGGCCACAGCTCTCGGCTGTTTTCCCCGCCTCAAGATTATTCACACTTCTAGAAGCTTCATGGGTCAAATATATATCCCAATGATGAACTGGTTTTTGCTGGTTTCTTGCCTTGCATTTGTTACAATGTTTGGGAGCATCAATGAGATTGGAAATGCATATGGTACGTGAATTGCTCCATACAAAAATAAAATATACAGCAAATTCATCATTTTTTTTAATTTTCTAACTAGAAAGTGATGCCCTATATCATTAAGCACTGAATTGTTATTTGTATGATTTTTCCTTTTATATTAACAACACTGTCTTAAGATTGTCAACAAATGATTTTTAACATGGAGAGCTGGCTGCTAAGTAACCTGTTTTCTACTGAAACCAGTGCCACAGTTGCTACCGCATAATCTTTCTAATGCCTGGTAACTATTGCAGGCATAGCTGAACTTGGGGTCATGATGATGACTACAGTCTTGGTGACCATCATAATGCTTTTGATATGGCAGATCAACATCATTGTAGTTCTGTGTTTTCTCACCCTCTCCCTGGGGCTGGAGTTAATTTTCTTTTCTTCAGTATTGGGCAGTGTAGCAGATGGGAGTTGGGTTCTTTTGGTATTTGCTGCTGTACTGTATTTGATAATGTACATATGGAACTACGGAACCAAGTTGAAGTACGAAACTGAGGTTAAGCAAAAACTTTCAATGGATTTGTTGATGGAGCTAGGTTGTAATCTGGGTACAGTCAGAGTCCCTGGAATTGGATTACTTTATAACGAACTTGCGAGGGGAGTTCCTGGAATCTTTGGTCAATTCCTCGCCACAATGCCAGCCATTCATTCAATGATTATTTTTGTCTGCATCAAGTGGGTTCCAGTTCCTGTTGTACCTCAGAATGAAAGATTTCTCTTTCGTCGGGTCTGTCCAAAGAGCTATCATATGTTTCGCTGCATTGCTAGGTATGTATGTCAATTCTTTTCCAGACTTGATAGTAACTACAAATGTTTCTACTACCTCCATTTCAGGTTATAAGACTTTCTAGCGTTGCCCACATTCATATAGATGTTAATGAATCTAGGCACACATATATGTCTAGATTCATTAACATATATATGAATATGAGCAATGCTAGAAAGTCTTATAATATGAAACAGAGGAAGTATCTCCTAAAATGAAGTAATATTTGCCTTGCATTCTCTCTTTGTGCTCCATTGAAGGTTGGAGATAATAAATGTAGGTACTTGTGTTTTATGCTGTGTCCATCTGTTTGTGTTTCACGTAATGCGTTGAATCTGCTAAAAACAGCTTGCTTTGTTGGCATCTGACAGTTTTGTCAATGTGCAGCTGGGGCTGGTATCCCCTTAAAGCTGTAATATGTTTGATATAGTATCATACTGTTGTCACAGTGGGGGAGCCAGAGATGGACTATGCCTTCCTCTATATCTCTGATGTTTTGATACTCCTTTAAATTCTTGTCAGAGGTTCTATTGAGCTTTGGTTCTAGTCCCTGACATGAAATGATTCCTTTGGGCCATGGGGTCTATCTCTGCCACTAACTTCAGTGAATGAAAATTGATTTCTTTAAAAACTTATCTTCAGTTACTTGTCTGTAGCTATTGAACTACTTTGTTTTGTGGAGTCCCTTTATGCATATCCGTACCAAAGTATGATAGTGCTAATATTTACTAGCAGTGATTCTATGTCTGTTGATTAACATTTGTTTTATTCGTCCTGGCAAATATAGCTGTTGCAACTTTCTACCCATGCATATCTACCCCCAGCAGTTCGTATCAGTAGTTATATGTCAAGAAGCTGGCCTGATAGACCCCATCCATATAGCTGGATATTGAAATATTGAATATGTAATCTGCTGTCTTGAATAAAATGATGCAGTGTGTGATGATTGAGCCGGTTACGTAGCTATGATCTATCCTTTTTTAAGCACTGATTGAGCCATTCCTTGTGTAATCTTCTTCTTCTTGTTGCATGTTAATCATTCATGGATGGTTGCAGGTATGGGTACAAGGACATACGCAAGGAGGACTACATATCATTTCAGCAGCTTCTGATAGAGAGTCTCGAGAAGTTCATGCGGCGGGAAGCCCAAGAGCGCTCCCTAGAGAGTGACCAATACGACGGTACAGACTCAGAAGAGGAGGTTGCATCAGCCTCGTCAAGAGCTCTCGTCGGTCCCAATGGCAGTATCAATTCTCTCGGTGTTCCACCTGCCGAGGCGGCTGGTACTACCGAGCACCCAACCATTGGATCGAGCATGTCGTTCGACGGATCGCTGGATGAGGCGATCGATGGGAGGGGAAGCCTCGACGACGAGCTCTCGTTCATCCACAAGGCCAAGGAGTCCGGCGTGGTGTACCTCCTGGGCCACGGCGACATCAGAGCTCGGAAGGAGTCCTTCTTTGTCAAGAAGCTGGTGATCAACTATTTCTACGCCTTCTTGAGGAGGAACTGCAGGAGAGGAATCGCGGCGCTGAGCATACCGCCCTCCCGGATGATGCAGGTCGCTATGCAATACATGGTTTAAGGGCCTTCAGCTGTTCTGCATACCATTTTGTACTTCGGTGGTAAGGGCACTTTAACTCCCATTGGATAGAGTGGCAAGAGGTTTTCAAACAGGCTGCTTACCACCAACAGAATCATCAAAACACTAACAAAGCTAATACTACTGTTTAACCGAAGCCAATGAGAAAAAAGAACTAGTCCATTCAGCGACATTAACAAAAGGTCACTTTTACCTACACTCATCTTTATGTCTGAATGTCTCCTTGCTGTAATTCACCAAGACGCTGTCCTCCTGGGGTGAAGGCACTGGAGCCTGAATCTGCTGAATGCAAGCCTTGTCATGTCCCAGCCAACACAAAACCTGCCCTGGCGGCTTTTGCTTGTCCGCTTGTGTTTAGAAGAATCGGAGACAGGGCAGAGCTATCAATTGTCACAGCTGCACGGCTGCGCCAATCACTCGAATCACCGAGTATCCTTGTACACGCCGTACGCCCCTCCTCCTGCCCGCTCTAAATCAATGGCTCCCCAGATCAGATCGGTCGTTCTCCTTCAGTGTACTGCTTACCACTACTACTGGCTCAGAGCTCAGTATTTAATCAGGCGCTCTTGATGATCACTGGAGTATTAACACTCGAAACCTGAAGCATCGGGAGCGTTTGTCTCCAGTCACGACGATGTTGTGTTGCTGCGTGTCGATGGTTCGCGCGATTGCGGCAGCGTGTGTTGGGTGTCAGCTCAGCTCACGGCCGTGGTGCGCGTCGCGATAAGCGTGAAGAGATTGATTGGCTGTTTGGAATTGGGAAGGAAAGATTGATGGATGGGTGGAACCGAGAATCTCCGGAATGCGAGATACGGGCACTGGAGCCTGGAGTGACCGGCGTCCATCCATCCAAGCCCTGCGTGAGCGAGCCAGGCCGGGTCTTGTTGACAGTTTCGACGCCTTAAGACGTGTCGTTTACCATGGTGTCACGTCCATTTCTTTCACAGCTACTTCTAGTAGCTCTTTCACAGCTACTTCTGATCCATGGTTAGCGGTTGATTACTGTAGCAGCATGGTAGCAAATCATGTATTAAATATCTCGTTAGATTCGTCTCGCAAAATAGCCTAGGGGTTATGGAATAAATTTTGTCAATAATCTACGTTTAATACTCCTAAATAACAAGATTCCGGAGGGCTATTTAATAGCCTGAAGGATCCAAACAAGACCCTGGTAGCTCTTTTTGGGTAAGAGGATTTACAGAGGAATTTTACAGTAACTGAATTTTACAGAGTCCTTACCATGCCTGGTAAGTTTTCTTATACCGCTACGCGGTGATAACTTTCGGCCTTTTCCCAATCGAGGGTGTTCACAATCAAGGGCTTCTTTGGAACAAAGGGTGTTTTGAAATTTTTGGAGGAACTCAATCCAATGAAAATATTTTCCGATCAAAGAAATAGCCGTCCTAAATTCCTTTGCAGCCCGTTTGGTTGGAGAGAGTTTTTAGGAGGGATTGAGAGTTTAGAGGGATGAGATTATTAAGTGTTTTGTTTGGTTGGGAGACATGAGAATTTTGGTGGAATGAGGATGGAGAATTGAGGAAAGAACTCCCACCTTTTCAATACCTGGGTAGGGCAGGTAATTGGGAGGGAATTCCTCCTTTACTTTATCTAAGCAAATCTCAGCCATCCGTTTTTATTAATGACCTAATCTTCAACTAAACTCTCTATCAATTTCCATCACCTCTACCAAACAAGATATTGGGATTAAAAATCAAATTCTCATCTTAATCCTATCATCAAACTCCCAATCCCATTTCATCCAGTTACCAAACAAGCCGTTGAAGTTTCTTTGGATTGGTTCAAAACATAGAAATTTGAATGTTAGAAGAATTTTCACATGAGGTCTAACCTTTTGAAAAAAAATCCTATGCCTATCGCTCTTGTGATTCCAGTGTATTCTGTGCTATATCTAAATGGTCATTTTCGAAGTTTTCTTGTATTTTTTAATCATAGGATTTAAAGTGCTAAGATAATCTAATCTTGTATTTTTTTTCTATATTAAAAATCCCGCTTTAAAAACCCAAGTGTTATTACCTTGTGGCTTCAGGGTCACAAGCACATACTTTGCACGTTATTTGAATGTCTAGATTCATCCCTAAAATTTGAATCTTTTTGGACAGAAGGAGTACACATCTCTATGGTGCATATAGCTAGGAATATAGTGCAATGCTTGTGTACGTGATGAGTACGTAGTACGTACGTTTATCCTACCTCTGAGTCTGAGGTGAGTGAATAAGAAAAGGACAGTTGTCCTCATCCCCTCATGATTAATTGCAGTTAGTAACTAATGGTGATGAGCGTACTGATGATCCTTGTTACTACTATTGGCTGATCGATCGATGGACAGGAGTGACATTCCATGGATTAAGACATTGGTGATTGGTGAAGCCATTTGGTGTAGTTAGTGATGGCAGAGAGAGAAGGCGGGAAGGGCACGTGTGATGCAATGTGGCCCACAGCTTAGTGGGGAGGAACATGCGTGTATGATGTCGCTAGGAGTGGGTGCATCATATCATGGCGTCCATGGAATCAATCAACTAATCCTCCGGTTCTTTTGCCTGGTTCTCAGCTGTGTACTGTTTAGAGAGAGAGAGAGAGGAATTAACCAATCAAACCAGGAGTGTTACTTACGCTAATCATTCCCTTTGAGGGAGATTATTATTACCTACTTCTTCCTCCGTTTCATAAAGAATATATTTATAGCCATTCTTGATAAACTAATATTCCCTCCTTGTTCCATCCCAGCAAATACCTCTGACGTAAAGACATGAAAGAATTATTATCACCTCGTTTGAATCACTCTAATGAAAACAATAAGGCAAATTTTGCTACAAAACACTGTTATTGTGTGGTTTTAGCTATGGGACACTGACCAAACTCACTTTTGGTGGAAACACTTCATAAACGTGGTAATTTACCAATGGACACCGTGTCGATTAAAATAATAATTTTCAGTTAAGGAGGAGAGAGAAATCACGTGAAATGTCAAAAATACCCTTGCGCCTACATGACAGCTCTCCATCTCTCTTCCTCTCTTTCTTTCTTTTCTTTCTCCCTTCTTCTTCTTCCTCCCGCGGCGGGTGAGCAGTTGCGCAACGCACAGTCGGCACGACGGCCCGAGCCGGGACGGCCCAGCGTGCGGCCGGGGAAGCAGCGGCGCACCGCCGGGTACCCAATGCCAACGACGACGAGGTGCAAGCGGCGGCACCGAGCACACAAGCACGGCGGTGGCGGCGACGACGACGGCGGTGCAGCTGGTGCGGCGGAGCATGTGGCCGGGTCGAGCTCGGCAGGGGCTCGGCAGCCACCGGGGGGGAGAAGGAGGCGGCACGGGGAAAAAAGGAGGAGCAGACTGGCAGCGGTAGGGAGAGGGCCGGCGGTGGTGGAGAGGAGGAATGGAGGGTCGGGGCGTGCACGGCGGGCCGGCGGCCGGGTGTGGCTCGGCGCGTGGCCGGTGTGAGGTGGCGTGGCGGTGGCTTGGCCACGCGCTGGGGAGGGCGACGGTGCCATGGTGTGGTGGCGGAGGAAGAACGAAGGCGGCACGGTGGCATGGGAGGGAGGCGGCGCCGAGGAAAGGGGTGGCGTAGGTGGTGGCCGGTAGCGGTGGGGAAAAAGAAGGGGGCACCGGTGGCTCGGCTGGGGAAGCGGGAAGGCCGGCGCGGCAGAGTGGTCTCGTGCAGGGGGGGCGGGCCGACGACGCGCGGGTGGTGGGTGGTGATGGTGCGGCGTGGCCGTGCTTGAGTGCTGGCTGGCTCGAAGGTGGAACGAAGGGAGGCGGCATGGGAGGAAGAGGAGGTCGTCGTGGCGATGCTTCGTCGGGCGGTGTCACCGAGGAAACAGCGACCGGGAGAAGAGAGAAAGAAAAGAAAGAGAGAGATGGAGAGCTGACATGGGGCCAAGGGCATTTTTGATATTTTACGCGATTTCTCACTCCTACTCAATTAGAAATTATTATTTTAATCGACATCGTGTTCATTGGCAAATTACCACATTTATGAAGTGTTTTCCCCCAAAAGTGAGTTTTGGCAGTGTCCCACAGCTAAAACTACACAATAGCAGTGTCCTGTAGTAAAATTTGCCAAATAATAACAATGTGTATACCCCATACGAATAGAGATTTTGAGGATAAAGGATATAAAAAACAAATTAAAGAGGAGGAAGGTGCTAGTGCAATACATGTATGAATGCACATCTTTTGTTATGAAAGGTTGTAAAATGTGTGTTTCTTTTAAAAAAAAGTGATTGTTTCTTATATTTTGGGATGGATAGAATAGTGAGAAGAAATGATTACCGTTTTCCCTCATCAATACTTTTGGTCACAATTTCTAAGGTCCAATTAAATGAACATGCATTTTTAAGCCAAAAATTTTAAACGTTACAGATAAAAGTGTTTTTGGCACGGAGGGAGCAATCCCTGAAACAGTGTTTGCTATTTTTCTATTACTAAATTATTAGGTTTATGTATGGATCGATGACGAGAGTTTTCACCGGGTAGTAGTGTGCAGTAAATTGGAATTTTCACCGCAGCCGGCCGGCAGGTCCTGTAGATGCTGCGTGCGGCGCTCATCTGCATCTGCACGGCCTGGCGCTACCGCCCTGGGAACCTAACAAATTCAGTTGGGCGCATGCAGTGGCAGCCAAGCCAGCGCCTCTGGGCTCTCTGCCTCAGCGTTCAGCGAGCATGCAGCTCCCCCTCTGGTCAATAGAGTACTAAGAACACGTACCTTGTCCTCACCATGGCCGCGCAGCAAAGTTAAGCTTGGTTTTTACTCTAGTAATCTGCGGTGAGATTTTTGTCTCTCCCTGTCATACTTCTCGGCCGTAATTAAGATAGAGCTGTGCTACTGAATGGTTATTCCAGGCATCCTATCCTAGATGGTTTAGAAAAACTGTCAAAAGTAAAACTATACCCCAACTGGCATCGTTTGCAATTTTACCACAACCAAAGTTACAATTTTAAAAACAAATCTATTATATTATTAAAGGAATAGAAAAAAAAACCTTCACGTTCGCTCTCATGGTCTAGAAATTCTCACATTAATCGAAGAAAAAGAAAAAACAGAGTCCATATAGAAATACAATTTAGAAATAGCTGAAATTCGGAATTAAAAAATAAGAAATATTAGAAGAGGAGACTAGAGTCTATATAGAAATACAATTTAGAAATAGCTGAAATTCGGAATTAAAAAATAAGAAATATTAGAAGAGGAGACTAGAGTCCATATAGAAATACAAT